GAGCTGAAAAAGATAAAAGAGCCTAGCCTTTGATTTGCCAGGATATAAGGGCTAGTTACCAACAAGTAATGCACAAAGCTTAAAGCTTAGGGTATGTGTTTGTCATCAGCCAGACTGGAGTTCAAGCTTTGGCTCTGTCATTATTGGCTTCATGACCTTGGAAGAGCCATTTACCTCTTTGTGGTTTACAAAATGGGAATTATCACACTAACTGCCTCATAAGGTTGTGATGAAGATGATATGATACATGCAAATGGTGGACACAATAGCTAATATGTTGGACGTGTTATCAACTTGGCTATTATTACAGATTTTTAGTTTGCACTCTTCTCTAAAGTTAAGACAAAGGGCTCTGCAGTCCATAAGGTATAGGTGCTTTCATACCAAAAAGCTTATACATTTATCCTCTAACCCACTGTGGTTAACTGTATGTCAAGGAGTGGGTCACAACCTCTGCAAGGTGTTTGGACTCACAATGTTTACAAATTTAGAGAATACTGATATTTACTGTGGTCTACTGTAGCATCTCCCTCTGTTAGAAGTTAAAGTAATTTTGAGCCAAGGCTATACAATCAAACAAACATAATTAAAACAAGAAAAAAGATTTTATAAGACACAAACTTTTTTGCCTAAATTAAATATGAAAGTACCAAATGTGGGATATTGATCTGGCAATGGCAGTAGGTGACATCACAGTCAGTTTCCACTAATCAAGCTGTTCTTTAAGGGACAGAAACAAAAATGTCCTATTTTCTGAATCTTCAAATAGTTACCTTTTATTATAGACCCTCCTTGCTTACTGAATTCCACTGGGAATGTTATTTCTCTCTTTCTAGTCAATGTTTTTAAGAGCCCATTCTAGTGTCCACTATGATTTCTGGAAACAAATTACACAACTGAGGTTCTGGGTCTGACTTCCTCTGAAGTGTCCAGAAGAAAAACACCCTCTTACCCCCAAAATGTGGGGGAAATGATGACTAATTATCTCTCCTCATTTCCAACTCCTCGAATGCACGAATCTCCACTGACAGTCACAGCCAGCCCTGAACCCTAGAGGCCATCAGGTTATTGACTTTACAAGAATGGTTGCAGCAACTGAACATTCTGAGTTTTGACCAAATGTTGGCAATCCTCTGATTATCACTTTCCAGGACAGTACAGACCATTATATGCATAAGTTTAATGGAATGGCCCCATGTTAGGCCCAACCCTTTTTTTTTAATAGAAAACTTTTATAAATATAAATTTCAAAAGTACAACTTTTGGATTATAGCAGTTCTTCCCTCCCCCATAACTACCCTCCCACCTGCAAACCATCCCATCCTCTACTCCCTCTCCCATCCCATTCTTCATTAAGATTCATTTTTACTTACCTTTATATACAGAAGATCAACTCCATACTGACTAAAGATTTTAACAGTTTGCACCCACACAGATACACAAAGTATAAAGTACTGTTTGAAAACTAGTTTTACCATTAATTCTCATAGTACAACACATTAAGGACAGAGGTCCTACATGGGGAGCAAGTACACACTCACCCCTGTTGTTGATTTAACAGTTGACACTCTTATTTATGACGTCAGTAATCACCTGAGGCTCTTGTCATGCACTGCCAAGGCTATGGAAGCCTCTTGAGTTCACAAACTCCAACCTTATTTAGACAAGGCCATAATCGAAGTGGAAGTTCTCCCTTCAGAGAAAGGTACCTTCTTCTTTGATGGCCCTTTTCTTTCCACTGAGATCTCACTCACAGAGATCTTTCATTTAGGTCATTTTTTGCCATAGTGTCTTGGCTTTCCATGCCTGAGACACTTTCATGAGGCCCAAGTCTTTAAAGAAACTCACAATTCCTGAAACAAGCTAGGGTTGTTGCTGGTCTACTTTTCCTTGCATAAGAGTAATCAGATTACACATTAGGCTGTTAAAGCAAAAACATAAGATACTCTAACTAGAACTGGGAAAATAACATAATCCCCCAGCCCCAGGGACTTGCTGTATAAATGAAATGCAGCCAAATGTCCTAGAAGACCAGACACAAAGGTCTTGTGTCAGGTAAATGTGTAACAGAGGGAAACGGGATAACTCCAGAGGTAACCAGAGTGCAAAGGATTTGCGATTCAAACACACACACACGCACACACAGGATTTGTTAAGCAAAATTAAAGTGAAAAATTAAGAGTATATGTGTATTAAGGTATATTTGTCTAAATTGTGTTTTATAAGCAAAAGAAAAAAGAAAACACAATAATATAAGCCTTTACGCGTGAGTTGTGATATGATGGGTAGTTTGGGTTATTTTCTTCAAATTTTAGTATTTTCATATTTTCTACAATGCATCTGTGTTACTTTTATGAAATAGAAACACAAAAAGTGGTCTTTTTTTTTAACTAGACAGACTCTCTGAAAATAGCTGGAATTGAGCTTATTTAAAAGTATACTTAAAATCAACACTTCCTATTCATGAGGCTTGGGTATAATCCTTAGCTGCATCTGCCTCTAAGTTTCCTGTGTGGGATAGGGCAAGGGCTTTGGCTGAGAGGGTTGGAAAGTCTGCTTGGGTGGTTCCAACAACCCTTCTGCACCTGAGACCAATGTGGGGAGAGTACAAGGTGTTCCTGTTTGGTAATAAGACAACCCTCACAGTGAAAATGATGACTGGCCAGCTGTGGTTAAGAGGACACAGAACCACATCTCCTGATCTTTCTCACTCTGCAATTAATGATCAATGTGAGATTGGAAGGCAGTTTTGTAATTATTAAACAAAGGTTCACAATTATTAATGTAAGACAAAGTTTATGGTCCACAACCAAGACAGAGTCAGTGGAACCATCACGAACAGGATTCCAAACCTGATACTACAGAAAGACAGAAAGCGGTAAGACAGGCAACAGCTTGTTATTATGGAAAGAAATGGGGAGACTACAAAAAATGAATGGGGAAGAGAAGAAGGCACATGGATTGAAACTTACTTGCCTGCTCAGGAAGAACAGGAGCTGATATAATAATTGGCATTCAGGCTGGAGTGTTTGACTCCTTTGAAATTTTAAGGAAAAGTTAGAAGACTCACTATTCCTGACTCAACCAGGCACAAACTGCCAGAGATACCTATGCAGATGGAAGGAGTTAGACATCAACCAGTGTGTGGTACAACTTCATTATCGCCTATTACAACTGATAGTTGGGAGAAAATGTCGATCTGCTTTTATCAGATGAACTCAGGAAAGTAGTACTGGAAAATCAGGAGTTTCAAAAGAGGTTTGTCCAAGGGCTTACAAGGTTCTCTGCAGCAGTTAAAGAAGTTGCCCTTGTTAGCTGAGTTGCCTAGGAACTCACCCAAAGGCCCAGGTTGTGGCATTTCAATCAGTTCAGGAGTAGAATAAAGAGACTGCCAAAGTATGCCAGCTTCAGTCTGTAAGTATAGTCTACAGTAAGTTGAAATCATCTCTGTCATCCCTTTTCCTTAGATGTTTATAGGCCTGGATTTTCACTCACACATCTTAGACTGTCCCATCGAAGGAATTCACTTGGAATTTCATAGTATATCCACTATACTTGAGTGCATATCAAGTTCACTTTTGTTACATGTTTCTGAATTTGGTCATTTCAGTAGGTATATTTAGAGTAAAATATTTTCAATTAGAAAGTTGTTTTTCTATCCTATCCTATTCTAACCATTACAGCTTGCCCTTAAAGAGCTATATCATCTTCCCCTTCTCTGGGTCCTGATGGCTCCTTTACCTCTCTTATGAAACATCTTATTTTACATTTTATTACTATTTGTATTTACTTCGTCTATCATATTGAAGCCATTTAAGGCAGTGTTTGTCTTACTTGCCTTATATAATCTCTAACACTTAGCAAGTGGCAGGAACATGAGAAATGTGTTGAGTCGAACTGAATGTAATTACTTGATATAAATGATGCGAAGTATGTTGTCCTAGATAATTGGTACAGAATGTCCAGATTGCATTCATTATACTACTTGTATCCATCAATCAAAAGCCTCCTTATTGTCCTGCATTTTTAATGAGGAATCACCACAACCCTCCCAGAAATCTCTTCATTCTCATCAAGAATTTTCTCCTTGGAGGAGGAATTTGGTAGTTAAGCTGTCACTTATGATGCCTGTATTCCACATTGGAGCCCTGCTTCTGACTCCAGCTTCCTACTAATGTATGTCCTAGGGGATGGCAGATGATGGCTCAAGTAGCTGGATCCCTACAGCCCATGTGGGAAAACTGGATTGAGATCCTTGCTCCTGGTTTCATCCTGTCCTGGCCTCTGCTGGGAGATTTCTTTCTGTCTCTTTCTGCCTTTCACATAAATAATTTTTTAAAAAACTGACTTATAAAATTATCATTTAAGAGAAAAACAAATTCTCTCCTTCTTTTCATCCCATCAGCCATGGAGCTCTGCTGTTTCTGCTTCTGCAGTGTCTTTTCCCTTGTCTCATCCCTGCTGTCCTGGTATGGGCCTAATATTTCATAACCAACAGTGTGTAAGATGCTCCTAATTTGTCTCAACCTGTCTGCTGCATCTTTCTCACCACTACCATAGTGACCTTCCTCAAATAGCTTCAAATCACTCTCAGTTACCCCAGATCTAAGTGGTTTCTCCCAAGGACCTCAACTCTGGTCTCAAACCAACTCCCTGATCTTTTCTCCACCTAATAGCTCCACAAACCCCATGCTCTGCCCACGTGGATCATTCACTAACACAAAACATTTGCTGCATTTTCATCACTCTGTCTCTGCCAAGACCCTTTCCTACAATTTCAAAAATTCTATGCAAAACTCAGATTTATGTAGAGTCAAGATTAACAAAAAGAAGTAAAAGGGAGGTACTGGAAATTTTTTCATTTATTAGAAATCATTGTGTTACTTCAGCAACATGAGGTACAGAAGAACCGAAGCTGAAAGTAGAGACATTCTTAACATCACTCCTACAGTATAGACCATGTTGGTATCAAAATCCCAGGAAGCAAAAAGGGATTCTTGATCACTCTCGGCCTTTTGGCTAAGATGAAGTGTAGTATCTGTTCTTACCAGTTTAATATCTGATACATCCTCTATCCGAGGACAAAGTGAATTAAAAAAAGGGGGAATTCTTTTTTGTTTTGATTTTGGAAGAACAGAAAGTTTTCTGTGTTTTGTTTCCTGATCTCTTGAGTGCCTAGAAAAATGCCAGCCACAGAGTAGAAACTAAATAAATACTGTTACATGAAGAAAAATATCATGAAGCATATTCCATTTAGAAGAGATTGAGTTCAAGATGTATTTAATATATGCCCACTTTACACATGGCAGTGCATGACCACAGGGGACCAAATACAGAAGGGCACAGGAAGCCATGTCCTGCTCTTGAAGCCCCAGACAAGAGACCAGCACAGTAGGAGTATTTGCAATAATTCAAGTGTGGAATCCATGATGCCCAGGCTCATTTACCTCAACTGTAAAGGAAGAACACACAATATCCTCTGGTTCCTGGTCTTCTCTTGCTTTAAGCATACTCTGTACATTCCCCAGATGATAGCCCCCAGGGGAGCTAATGTCATGGCCACTTGCAACGCCAGCATCCCATATGAGCACCAGTTTAAAGTCCTGGCTACTCTGCTTCCAATACAGCTCCCTACTAATGCACCTGGGAATGCAGTAGTGATGGCCCAAGTATGTGTGGGCCCTTGCACCCACATGAAAGACCCAGATGGAGTTCCAGGCTCCTGGCTTCAGCCTGGCCCAGCCCCCTGGCCATTAGGTCCATTTGGAGAGTGAACCAGTGGATGGGAGCTATCTCTCTCTCTCTCTCTCTCTGTGTGTGTGTGTGTGTGTCTGTGTGTGTGTGTTTCAAATAAATAAATGAATAAATCTCTTTTTTTAAGTGTCTAAGCCTGGGGCTGTGCCTTGTCAGCTCTATATTTCCTACAGTACCTGTAGGAACTTTGCGGAACTTTGCAACTAATTGTTGTTAATTACCTGTTTTCTTTTCTATTTTAACTGAACTGATGGGACTGTAGTTGCCCAATTTTTAAAATTAAAATTAGAATAAAATAATAAACACTCTCTGGAAAATATCTCCAGTAAATAAATATAGAGAGAGTATGCTGTGAGGCAGAAAACCACATTCAGACAACAAAGAGGAGTTTTGGGTAAACTGCTTGACAAGCTTGAGCATGGCTTCCTCACAATCTCATGAGATGGTGAACATGAAATGGCTTTCCAAGCAGAAGAACATTCTGGGGGCTGATGCTGTGGTTTAGTGGGGAGAGCCACCGCCTGCAGTGCCAGCATCCCACATGGGCGCCAGTTCAAGTTCTGGCTGCTCCACTTCTGATTCAGCTCTCTACTATGGCCTGGGAAAGCAGTAGAAGATGGCCCAAGTCCTTGGGCCCCTACAACCATGTGGGAGACCCAGAAGAAGCTCCTGGCTCCTGACTTTGGATCAGCTCTCAGCTCTGGCCATTGCGGCCATTTGGGGAGTGAACCAGCGGATGGAAGACCTCTCTCTCTCTCTTTCTCTCTCTCTCTGCCTCTGCCTCTCTGTAACTGCCTATCAAATAAATAAATAAATCTTTTAAAAAAAAACATTCCCTACATGAGTTAGTGCTTTTACCACCAATCAGTTCCTCAATCAGTTCTTCATGGATGGCTGCAGTCCTACCACACGCTGCCACTGCCATCTGCTCCAATCTGATTAGTCAACCAGGTAGAGAATGGGAGAATCTGATCTTTCTTTGTTTACTTCCCCAAATTTAAACTGTTGCCCATGTAGCATCTACAATTTAAAATGTAGCTAGGGGCCAGTGCTGTGGCACAGTGGGTTAAAGCCCTGGCCTGCAGTGCCGGCATCCCATATGGGCACCGGTTCGAGTCCCGGCTGTTCCACTTTTGATCCAGCTCTCTGCTATGGCCTGGGAAAGCAGTAGAAGATGGCCCAAGTCCTTGTGGCCCTCCACTCACATGGGAGACCCAGAAGAAGCTCCTGGCTCCTGGCTCCTGGCTTCGGATCAGCTCAGCTCCGGCAGTTGTGGCCAATTGGGGAGTGAACCAGTGGATGGAAGACCTCTCTCTCTCTTTCTCTCTCTCTCTCTGGCTCTACCTCTCTCTCTGTAACTCTATCAAATAATGAATAAAATAAATATTTAAAAATAAAAAATGTAGCTAAAATCATGTTTGTTATTGGAAATATTTGTTAACTAATTCAGGAAAAGGATATAAGAAAGTCAAGAGTAGGTAAAAAAATTCTGCCTGTATTTGTAAAAATATATGACAGAACAAAAACTAAAGAAATTATCTAAAGAAGGTAAAACATATGTTCAAAGGAGTATTTATTACAACATTGCTTACCAGGGTGGAAAATGATGACTTTTCAATTCAGCATCAGAGTCACTCCTACAGCTCCTCCTGTCCTTGATTCTCAGGGTCAATACCTTTGCTAAAGCAGAGGAACTTATTTAATAGAGGTTCCTGAGTTCACCTCAGTATTTTTTGTTCAGTAGGTTTAGTTCAAGGCCTAGAAATTTTCACTGAGCATCCGTGACTAAAGCAATAGCTATGGTGCACTTAGTGTACATATTTTTAAAGACGATGTAGCAACATGGAAAATATCATAATTAACTCTTAAGTTAAACAAGCTGAAACAAAGGTGTACAAATGTGTAAAGAATGTATATTCAGTAAACAATGAAGATACAGAATAGATTTTATAAAATAGTTTGTTTTAGAGAAATATTGTCTTATTTCAAAGGCTGTATGCTTATACTGCTTACATGATTTTAAAATATGTACGAGTATTTATTCAGATCAAACAATTGGTGGATCTGGGATTTTATGAACACTTGAGAAAAAGAAGCAGTCAATAGTTGTGGTTCCCCCATTCCCATAAAGCCTTCTATTTCATGGTAGTGAGTAAATACTTTAGAAAAATATCTTAGATTTGTCAATGGATAAGAAGACAAGGCATGACAGGAAGCCATAATTAATGTCTCTCAGATAAAAAACCAATAATAATAATAACAGCGACTACTACAACAAATTTAGAACCCAGAAATGTTCACCCTATGACAATGTGGGATACAGACATTGTAAATGCATCATATGTTATAATACCATAATGGTTCTTCCAGAACCATCCCGAGGACTAAAGAACTTTGCCATCTATAGGTTATGGTTGTTCCTATTTTAAAAGACTTTGGTATGTTTTCTTTTTTAAAGATTTATTTGAAAGACAGAGTTGCAGAGAGAGAGGAGGTAAGAAAGAAAGAGAGGTTTTCCACCCACTGGTTCACTCCCCAAATGGCTGCACTGACAGGACTGGACCAGACCAAAGTTAGGATCCAGGAGCTTCTTCCAGGTCTCCCATGTAGGTGCAGGGGCCCAAGTACTTAGACCATTGCCCACTGCTTTCCCAGGTGCATTAGCAGGGAGCTGGATTGGAAATGGAGCAATTGGAGCCCATTTAGGAGGCCAGCATTGCAAGTAGTGGCTTTAACCCACTGTGCCACAGTGCCTGCCCTGACTCTGGTATCTTTTAATCCTTCAGCACTTTTAGCTGAGATGCATTCTCTGGCATCACATAAGAAGAAATCAATCAACAAGCTTCCTAATTTACAAAATAATGATTTGTAATAGCTTTCTCTTTGGAGTCAAATCTTAATAGCTAAATCTTGGGCAATTACAAACTAGTAAGCATTTCTTCCCCAGGTCTCATTTATTTCCCCAGGCAACTTTATAATGCCCATATGTCCCCATTAAAGTGAGAAGTGGATGCTGGAATCATTACCAGGTTAAGTTAAACCTTGTTACCTGAAAGATTCAGGTCAAAGTGGACCTTCTCAGCTTTTCAATAGTTACCTCTAATTTCTACTGTGTCAAGAACAAACATAGCCTTAGAATGCCTTGGATATAATGAGCACAGAAATAGCTGTCTTCTCAGAACTGACAGAAAGGAACAGTTTACTCCAAAAAATCAATTACTTGTAATATCTAGAAATGTAATGCAAACTTCAGGCCATGATCAGAGCAATATAGTATGAGCTATCAGCAAAGTCCCATCAAGTATACTATTTAACCACTTAGGAGTAGGAAAAAGGAATTTAGATGGTGTTAGATATATACTTCCCTTACTCCCAGACCAGCAACAATGCTGTAGACAGATAGGTTCAGGAATTGGCTTTTGACAAATATTAGAATGGTCAGATTGGCACCTAATTGTAAGCCCTACAAGAACCTTTAGAAATAACTGAACTGGGATGGGTGTTGTGCTATAGCAGGTTAAACTGGAATTTGGGACCCTTGCATACCATATAGGAGTGCATGGTTTGAGTCACAGCTACTTGGTGCTTCATTTTTTTTCTTTACTTCTTTCCTTCCTTCCTTCCTTCTTACCTTCCTTCCCTCCTTCTTTCTTTCAAGAGAACAAATATGGGGCCTGTGCTGTGGTATAGCAGGTTAAACCTTCACCTGTAACACGGGGTATCCCATATGGACACCAGTTTGAGATCTAGCTGCTCCACTTCCAATCCAGCTCCCTGCTAATGCACCTGGGAAAGCAGTGGAAGACTGCCCAAGTCCTTGGGCTCTTGCATTCATGTGGGAGATGTGAATGAAGCCTCAGGCTCCTGGCTTCAGCCTGGCCCAGCCCCAGCCATTGGGACCATTTGGGGAGTGAATCAGTGGATGGAAGATCTTCTCTGTCTCTCCTCCTTTCTCTGTAATTCTGCCTTTCAAAAAATTTTTTATTTTATTTTTTACTAGTTCAAATCTTTGAGGGCTACAACATCGCATGGATTCTGTGTCCAGTGGCCTTCACAGGAATGTTGCTTTGAAATTTGGCATGAACCATGCCACGGTTTCCATGAACGTGAGTTACCAGATTACTCTGGTTTTGCTGAGTTTGCCACCAGAGTTATTGTGTTGTTCTTTGCTTTGTACATGGAATCACATCTCTTGCCCAAATAGAATTCAGTATCATCTTGAGCATAATCACCTTCAATTTTAAGAAGTGCTATGTGTTCCCCTTGGTTCTAGAGAGCTCCTTTACAGACAGCAAAAATGGCCTTGCACCACAGCCTTCCAGATATATCTGCCTTTTAGAGATCCTTTCCCCAAAGGGCCTCCACAGATTCAAGATGACAGAGCTACCGTGTTTCTGATTCAGCTTCCTGCTAACATTCCTGGGAAACAGCTGGTGATGACCAAAGTATTTAATCCCTGCCACCTATGTGGGAGAACTGGATAGAGTTCTTGGCTACTGGCTTTGGCCTGGCCCAGCCCCAGGCCATTACAGGTATTTGGGAAATGAAGCAGTGGATGGAAGATCTCTGTTTGCCCTTCTCTCCCTGGAACTCTGCTTTTCAAATAAATAAATAAACCTTAAAATAAAACAAAAGAGTTCCTGACTTTGGCATGGCCCAACCCTGGCTTTTGCAGCCATTTGAGGAATGAACCAACTGATGGAAGATTTCTCTCTCAATCTCTGAAACTTTGCCTTTCAAATTCATACACATATACATGCATACATCTTTTCTTTTTTAAGAGCAACATTCTTAAATTGGTTGATGATGCAGTTTTGGAGTGATTTCTATTGCGGAGGCATTGGGCAGTCATAATGGACAACCCTTCAAACGGTTTTATTTAAAGATAAAATATTTTCACAGGTAGAAAATCATCCAAAGCTACAGTTTCTGCAGAAGCTAGAGTACACAGGAAGAATTGCCCCAAACACATGGAAGAAATATCATAGTTTAACTCTGACACCTTTCCTGTGCCTCTCAGCTCAAAATAGAGAGACTGTTCATACATATTAACTCCTTGGATCCCGCAACAAAGAAAGAACATCACACTGGGCTTATGGCCAAGTTAGCCCATTACAACACAGCAAACATGATCTCTGGAAGGTTCCCACTTTAGTCACAAGAAAAGCCTCTGTCAGATTACATCCTGCTTTGCATTTCCTCTGGTTTTCAATTCACCAGGTTTTCATTCATGTGCCATTTTATAACAAATTAAATCTGAAATTCTTGGGTTCATCATTATCTGTTTCTCTCTTGCCCTACTTTCTGACAGACTTTCTGGTACCAGAGACATTTGTGAAAATCTTCAGCACAGAATTTTTTTAAGATTTATTTATTTATTTATTTGAAAGACAGAGTTAACGTAGAGACAGAGAGGGAGAGATAGAGAAAGAGAGATCCACTGGTTCACTCCCCAAATGACTGCAATGGCAGGGGCTGGACCAGGCTGAAGCCAGGAGCCAGGAACTTCTTCTGGGTCTCCCATGTGGGTGCAGGGGCCCAAGCACTTGGGCCATCTGCTGCTACTTTCCCAGGCACATTAATAGGGAGCTGGATCGGAAATGGAGTAGCTGGAACACAAACACACAATACCCCAACACCTGTTCCCATCACAGAAATTTACTCATCCTCTCTCAGGGTTCCCAACTGTCTAACACACTCCTGTCCAATAGAAATATAATGAGAGGGCTATTTGTTTTAGTGGTTTTATAACTTTAACAATCATTGGTTAGTTCTCATCCTTATTGGCTCTCTAAAGATTTTTTAAATTGGTGTCAGGTACCTAGATAACCAGTATATTGAGTTTGTTTAGAGATTTTTCATTCTCATTACAGTTTATTTTTTTAAAACAACCACACAAGAATATGGTATAGGACATTCATCATTTCTTTGACATATAGCTTTGTTAAGCCTGATACTGATGCACATACCTGGCGTTCCCATCATCTTCGAGGAAAATTCAGAATCTCTATGAGTGCCACAGGGACATGCTTCCTGAAACCCATCAGGTGGAAGGACTTGTCACTGACAGCAGAACAGCCCTTCTTTTTGCAGGAGCCATTCTGCTGACCCATGATTGAAAGTCACACCTGTCAGTTAAGATTTTCTAGTAGCCACATTTTTTTTAACTTTTATTTAGCAAATACAAATTTCCAAAATACAGCTTATGGATTACAATGGTCCCCCCCCCATAACTTCCCTCCCACCCGCAACCCTTCCATCTCCTGCTACCTCTCCCATCCCATTCACATCAAGATTCATTTTCAATTATCTTTATATACAGAAGATCAATTTAGTATATATTAAGTAAATATTTCAACAGTTTGCACCCACATAGAAACACAAAGTGTAAAATACTGTTTCAGTACTAGTTATAGCATTAATTCACATTGAACAACAAACACATTAAGGACAGAGATCCTACATGAGGAGTAAGTGCACAGTGACTCCTGTTGTTGACTTAACAAATTGACACTCTTGTTTATGGCACCAGTAATCTCCCCAGGCTCTTGTCATGGGTTGCCAAGGCTATGGAAGCCTCTTGAGTTCACAAAGTCCAACCTTATTTAGACAAGGTCATAGTCAAAGTGGAGGTTCACTCCTCCCTTCAGAGAAAGGTACCTCCTTCTTTGATGGCCCGTTCTTTCTACTGGGATCTCACTTGCAGAGATCTTTCTTTTAGGTGTTTTGTTGTTGGTGTTTTTTTTTGTTTGTTTGTTTTGTTTTGTTTTGTTTTTGCCAGAGTGTCTTGGCTTTCCATGCCTAAAATACTCTCATGGGCTCTTCAGCCAGATCCGAATGCCTTAAGGGCTGATTCTGAGGCCAGAGTGCTGTTTAGGACCTCTGCCATTCTATGAGTCTGCTGTGTATCCTGCTTCCCATGTTGGATCATTCTCTCCCTTTTATATTCTATCAGTTAGTATTAGCAGACACTAGTCTTGTTTATGTGATCCCTTTGACTCTTAGACCTATCAGTATGATCAATTGTGAACTGAAATTGATCACTTTGACTAGTGAGATGGCATTGGTACATGCCATCTTGATGGAATTGAATTGGAATCCCCTGTAGTAGCCACATTTTTAAAAAGTAAAAATAATTGGAATTCATTAAAATTTTATTGCATAAAAATGTACATAACATAAAATTTATCATTTTTAGCATTTTTAAATATACAATTCAGTATTAAATTAAATTAAATTAAATTAAATATACAATTCAGTAGCATTAAGTATATGCACAATACTATGCAATTTTCGCCCCTATTTGATTACAGAATTTTTCTCACCATTTCAAACTGAAATTCTACACCCATTAAGCAATTACTTCCTATTTCTTCTTTCCCCAGCCCCTGGTAACTATCATTCGACTTTCCTTTTCTTTAAAGTTTATTTATTTTTACTTATTTGAAAGGCAGAAGGGAAAAGAGAGAAAGAGAAAGAGAGAGAGAGAGTTTCCATCTGCTGGTTCACTCCAAAAATGCCTACAACAGCTGGAGCTGGACAAGATGGAAAGTAGGACCTAGGGACCCCTATCTGAGTCTCCCATATTGGTGGCAGGGACTCTAGTACTTGAGCCATCTTCTGCCACCTCACAGGGTAAGCATTAGCAGGAAGCTAGAATTGGAAGCAGAGCAAGCTGTCTGATATGGGAAGTAGGTGTCCCAAGTGGCAGCTGAACCCATCGCACCTCACACCTACCCTTCCACTTTTCTTTTCTTTTTTCTACTTTTCTTTTCTATGAAATTTGTTCATACTAGGTATCTCAAATAAGTGGAATCATGCAACATGTGTCCTTTTACTTCTGGCCTATTTTACTTAGCATAATGTTTCCAAGGCTAATCTACACTGTGGCATGTATCAGAATTTTATTCTTTTTCGAGGTTGCATAGTATTCCATTGTAGATAGATAGATAGATAGATAGATAGATAGATAGACAGACCGACCAAATTTTGTTTATCCATTTATCTGTAGATATAATTCAGTTGTTTCCATCTGTATTAGTCCACTTTCATTACCTTACCTAAAATACCTGAAAAGAGCTTCTTGGGAAACAGAAAGTTGATTGTAGCTTGCAGGTTACAGGTAAGGATCAGGTGGCCCAGTAGTCCAGTGTCTGTGGAGCAATGATCACATGGTGAGCCAGGGAGCAAAGAGAGAACAACTAGGTAGAACTTGAACTTGAGTACTCAAAACACTCTTGAAATACACCCTCTTAGGGCATGACCCTAGTGACCTAAACACCTCCCACCAGGCCTACCTCTCAGATGCCATTATTAGATCAAGTCTTTCTCTTTTTCTCTCTGCCTGTCTCTCTGTGCATGCGCACATGTGTGTGTGTGCGTGTGTGTGTCTATCTTTAAATAACTGCTTAAAAAGAAAAAAATATATTTTACATGATAAAAATTCTCAAAAATCCTATATAGTTGTAGTATTTATTAATTTAGATCCTAAATATTTTTATCAGAAATAATTTGATCTATATTTTGATTTCATGAAATTTATAGATTCATATACCCAAGTTGTTCTACATATACTTTAGAACATGTAAATTAATTAAAACTAAAAGAAATTTTAAATATAATTCTTTAGTCACTCTAGACACATTGTAAGTACTCAATAGCCACATTGGCTTGGAGCTGCTGGGTGGGACAGCACAGGTGTAACAAATGGGACAGAAATGCCTTCCTCTGGCCCCTCACAATCTGGCTCCAGCCTACTGTGCTTAGCCTCTTTCCTACTACTCTCAGGCCTATATCCTAAGCCAAGTGATCTGGAATATGAACTTGGCAAATATGTATTGAGCACTGACCATGTGTCAATCATTATGCTGCTAAGCACTGGATATCGTGGGAAACAAAATCATGTCTGCATGGAGCCCCAAAACAAGTGGAACTCGCAGACATACAGATAAATACAGTCCTCATTATAACATGTTGTGAGTCCAAATAGGGAACACGGTGTGAAGATACGACAAGCACATTTAAACAAGATAATTAATCACAAAAGAACAATACCTTACAACTTTTGGTAAGCACACTGAGAAAAAAAGTAAAGGGGCTAATGTCAGACATAACAGTATGTCTTATCTAGAAGGGAAAGTTCCCAGGGTAGAAACTGAAACTAACGTAGAAGAGACACATGATGGAGTACAGAGAGGGGCCGGGTGGTAGGTAGGCCTACAGGGGAACACTTCTCTTCTACATTTTGCCCTCCCTTACTCCACTGACGCTCTGGCCTTGTACTAATGTATGTCACTTTATGTGCTGGTATCTTTTCCACAGGTCAGCAAAGGTTTCTCCTTCACCTTCATGTGCTTATACCATGGAGAATGGAGCAGATACACTTGGCCAATCTGGTTTTTCTTTTTAAAGATTTATTTATTTATTTACTTATTTGAAAGTCAGAGTTGCACAGAGAGAGGAGAGGCAGAGAGAGAGAGGTCTTCCATCTGCTGGTTCACTTCCCAATTGGCCGCAACAGCCAGAGCTGCACCAATCCAAAGCCAGGAGCCAGGAGCCTCTTCCCGGGTCTCCCACGTGGGTGCAGGGTCCCAAGGACTTGGGCCATCTTCCACTGCTTTCCCAGGCCACAGCAGAGAGTTGGATCGGAAGCAGAGCAGCCAGGTCTTGAACTGGCACCCATCTGGGATGCCAGTGCCTCAGGTCAGCGTTAACCCACTGCCACAGCGCCTGCCCTGGCCAATCTGTTAAACTGGATTAGTTAATGGCTCAAGTAGTTGAGTCCCTGCTATCCAAGTGGGAGACCCAGATTGGATTCTGGGCTCCTGGCTTATGACTGGCCCAACTCTGGCATTTGGGGAATGATCCAGCATTTGAAAGCTCTCTCTCTCTCTCTCTCTCTCTCTCTCTCTCTCTCTCTCTCTGCCTTTCAAATAAATAAAAAGTTTTGAAAAAATAAAAATCAGATTGAATTAAAAGTATCATTGTAATTGGCTACTCAGTCTCACTACAAAACAGTTTGTGACCTAATTAACTGTCCTTATCAAGCTATTCTGTTCTCTGCTTGCCTCAAAAGCTGAAGCGCCTGAACAAGACTTGGGCAGCCCTCCAGCAACTCAACCACCGAAAGGGGTTTTGTTTTAGGTCAGGTTAGGGCTACAAAGCCATCAACCCATATGGCACATGTCGAGGCCTCAAGGAAATGTCCTAACATGCAAACTCTGTACTTTACGTGGTTGTCAAGAAATGCAAACCCGTCTCCAAGAAGAGCTTGCTCTCGGCTAGACGCACCATCCCTCTGCTAGGGACTGCAAACAGTACGGGATTCCTTTGCCCCCTTCCATTGGTTGTGGATTGAAACTTCATGATCTGGGGCAAAGAGGTGTGGAAAGGGCCCAGGCTTGGTTCCTTACACGCCTGACCTGGGCCAGAATCTCTGGGCCTGTTTCTACATCTGACCCTCCAGACACGTAGGGAGGATTGAACCAGAAGTGAAAAATCTAACAGCCATGGGTGAAGAAACTGCTTTCGGTGCCTCTAAGGTTTACAAGGAACTTGCAGGGTGGGTGGGGGAAGGCAGTGTATGACCTCGGTGCCAACAGAAAAACCACTAGGTTTCCTTTTCTTACCCTCTCTGGTGAGTCAGCCTTCATGGAAGATGGCTCAGTAGAAAAAAAATATCAGCCCGTTTGTAAAGTACACCAGGAGAAAGAGTGTCAACGTCACAAATTTGTGAGAGCACAAAAATCATATATATATATGTATGTATGTATATATATATTTAACCTCAACGGGAGCCGCCTGTCACTGTTCCACCCTCGCCCCGGGCGGCAGCCACGCAAGGGTTAGCCCAGTTTATCTGGCAAGGCTCAGCCGGGATGATAAAGATGAGTTACGACTTGGAGGCTTCTCTCCAGTGGCCCTCCAGAGCACCAGGCCTTGGCCGAGCTGCCCACAGGGACATATTTTCGTACTGCCTCTTCTGCCGTCCCGCCGACTTCCCCTGAGTTGCGTCTCCAGACCCGGGGCGCCCCGCGTTCCAGCCTGGACTCTGGGGTCTCACTGGCGTGGGACCACCGGGAGGGAGTCAAGGCCGCTTTCCATTCTTCCCTCAGGCCGGCATCTGCCTTGGGATCCCACACAACTCTGCTCCCCCTGGTTCATTCGCCCCAGCTCCCACCCCCACGTCGCTCGCAGGGTCAGCGCGGGGACGAGGTCCGGTCATTGCCCGGGAATGACCCGGCCTGGCCGCGAGCGCCGGGCGGGGCGGGGAGGGAGCGAGCGCGCGCCTCGCGAAGCCCCGCCCCATCGCCAGATGCGGCGCCGATGGTGCGCGGTGATTGGTGGCTGCGGCCGCGGGATGAATGGGGTGACCGCGGCGGGGAGGGGGAGGGGTGAGCGAGGAGGCGGGGCGGGGCCGCGGAGGGCGCGCGGGTGGCGGCAACGCCCTCGGGCGCGGGCGGCTAACGGTCCGGGTTCCCCGCGAGGGGAGGGCTGGGCAGGGCCGCGTAGGTGGGCGCGGGTGCGAGGCTGACGTGGTGTGTGGGTCGGGGGCCCAGCCTTTGCACTGGGGGCGGAGGACCTAGGTGCACAGGGAAGTCGCTCGCGCCCGGGGGCCGGGGCCTAAGGGAACCCGTGCCCCTGTGGCTGCGTCCCGGGCTCTGGAAGCGCGGGGCGCAGAGATGGCCGGGCTCGTCCCAGGGGCAGCTGCGGTTCACGTGCGTGTCTGTGTTTGGTACCCTGCGGGCACCGGCTGTGGGGAGTGCTGTGAGCTGAGGAAATGGGACTAAGGGGCAGTGTGACTAGGAAAAGACCCCCCAGGCAAAGATGACTTGTAGCCCCGCCGAAGGCCCTGCCACCTCAGAGTCATTTCCTCATCTCTCCCACGTCTGAATTCCCAGAGAGCTTTTTTTTGCACTTCCTAAGGCTCACGACTTTTTACCATGTATTATAATTTTATCGTCTCAATTCCTGGCATAGAACAGATCCCCTGAGCATAGTCAGTAACCATGTACTTAGCATCCAACTGACTTCCAGATTTCCGCTAGGTACTGAGGATCATTTTGAAATGAAATACTGCATTCCCGAATGTTTCCTGAAAGTTACTTCGATCCTTTTGTGCTTGCCCTATACATCTTATGTCCCTACTCCTTGGGAATTTTTCTTGATTATTAAACCTCAAGGCAGCTTTCCAGGCTTCCAAAGCATAGTTACTTCTTTCTAAAAAATATTTTATTCATTTATCGTTCCAGTTTTAGTATATGTGCTGCCAAAGCGAGCACAAGATTTTGTTTATCTATTTGACAGGTAGAGTTACAATGAGAGGGAGAAACAGAGAGAGAGATCTTCCATCCACTGGTTCATTCTCAAATGGCCGCAACGGTGGGAGCTGGGCCGATCCGGAGCCAGGAGCTTCTTCCAGGTCTCCCAAGTGGGCACAGGGGCCCAAGGACTTGGGCCATCTTCTACTGCTTTCCCAGGCTACAGCAGAGAGCTGGATAGGAAGAAGAGTAGCCAGAACTAGAACCTGAGCCCATATGGGATGCCAGCACCGCAGGCGGAGGGTTAACCTACTGCGTCACAACGCTGGCTCGGCCTAGTTGCTTCTGAGTTGGCTGATCCAATAAACTGCACCTGCCCATTAGCGAATGCAAACATGGTGCATTATTCTTCCCCATAAGACATGTGTGTATTTATGTGTTATAATAGTAACCTGCAATGACTTAATTCAAAGTAATAGATGAAATGTTTACCAATGCTGGGGAACATGGATTGGGAAACGCAGGTGCCTTCCCAATAAATTTCCTTGATCAATAAAGAAGGAGCTCAATTTGTTTTCAAAGTGGCTGGCCTTGCTCAATCCCTCTTATGAAAGAGGGCAACCTGTGTGCCAATCTTCTCTGATATAAGAAAAATATACTTGGGAAAGGCAAATTTTTGTAACTGGAATATTGACACAGTTATCAATATTGTTGATTGCTGTGACAAGTAATGTAAATAAACTTTTATTTCAGTTTTTCTGTCTTTGGTTCTATTTCATAAAGTTTTTTAAAAAAAGATTATTTATTTACTTGAAATTCAGATTTACAGAGAGAGGGAGAGACAGAGAGAGATCTTCCATCCACTGGCTCATTCCCCAAATGGTCACAACAGTCAGGGTTGGGCCAGGTGGAAAGCAAGGAGTTTAGAATTCCATCTGGGTCTTGCCCATGGGTGCAGGGGCCCAAGCACTTGGACCATCTTCTGCTTTCCCAGGTACATTAGCAGGGAGCTGGATCAGAAGTGGGGTGGCCGGGACTCCAACAGTGATCATGGCATCGCAGGCAGTGGCCAGTTGCCAGCCCCAAAGTTAAAGTTTTAATGTTAGCTTTTCCTACATAATAAATTATCCATAAAATTAATGACTTGAAATGTCTTTTTATCTCAAAGTTTCTGCAGGTGAATAATTGGTTCTCACAGACTACTGTCAAGGTGTCAACAGGGGTTGTAATCATCACAAGGGTCTACTGGGAAAGATTCATTTGCGCGTTCACTTGTGTGGATTCAGACCTCATAGGATATTAGATTGAGGACCTCAGTTTCCTAGTTGTCTGTCTGTTAGTAGGAGGCCAACCTTAGTTCCTTGCCAGCCATATGGACATCTCCAATATGGCATTTTTCCAGGCAAGAAGCTATGAAGAGAATGCCAGTTAGATAGAAATTACCTTCTTTTCTAACCTAGTCTAGAAACTGACATTCCATTTGTTTCCAAGCCGGTTGCTAGGTTCAGCCCACGGGCATGGATATCAGGTGTCAGAAGTCGCCTGCCACATCATCACAGCACAATACACTGATGATCTGAATGTGGGACTTCAAAAGTCCTGGCATATCCTGAAAACAGCCTGCAGTGTTTTGTTAGCTATCATTATCATACAGAACGTAAACAGCCTCTGAGAGTCCAGTTCAATAAACAGTTATTGAATGTTCACTATGTCCCTAACACAGCACCATCGTAGAGATAACAAATATGAATGCCTTTGATTTTGGGAAGATAGGTATAAACAATCAGTATTATAAGTGAAATAAAAAGCAATCAATTATACGTGAAATAAAAACCTTCACAGAGTGCTCTGATCATGGGAGAGAGAAGGAAAGAAACATTTTGTTCTAGATCACATTCTGGAAAGTAACAAGTGTGAGGAGGTGAATAGAAAAATGGTTAAATGTAGATCAAGACTCAGAAGTTAATTTTATGTACCAACAAGAAATAAAAGCAATGGCATATTGTATTCTGCATTTTCTAGATGTCAGTCTAAAGCTGCCCCAATGTTATGCTCCTAGGGTATCTGACAACTTTTAAATTTTATAAGCATTCTATAGAAATACATTTGATACAGGGCAGCATATCATTTAGCCATTCAAATTAGAAGTCAACACTGCAATGCTGTTTAATCCAAGGGAATTAACTGAATGAACCCCACATAAAGACATATACGAATGCCAAACAATAATTTTCAAAAGTAATTAAACTAAACACAAACTTGTAGAATTGGAGCCTTAAGACACAGTCACTCTTAGCAAAAGGTGAACCTAAGATTGTGAAAAGAAATTGTACTAAAAGTTTCTGATACTGGGGCCAGTGCTGTGGCATAGTGGGTAAATCTGCCACCTGCAGTGCTGGCATCCCATATGGGTGCCGGTTTGACTATTGGCTCTTCCACTTCCGATCCAGCTCTCCACTATGGCCTGGGAAAGCAATAGAAGGTGGCCCAAGTCCTTGGGACCCTGTACCCACATGGGAGACCCAGAGGAAGCTCTGGCTCCTGGCTTCGGATCAGTTCAGTTCCAGCCATTGTAGCCATTTGAGGAGTGAACCAGTGGATGGAAGACCTCTCTCTCTCTCTGCCTCTGCTTCTCTGTAAATCTGCCTTTCAAATAAAAATAAATAAATCTCTTTTTTTGTTTGTTTGTTTGACAGGCAGAGTGGACAGTGAGAGAGAGAGAGAGAGAAAGGCCTTCCTTTGCCGTTGGTTCACCCTCCAGTAGCTGCTGTGGCTGGCGCGCTGCGGCTGGCGCACCGTGCTGATCCGAAGGCAGGAGCCAGGTGCTTCTCCTGGTCTCCCATGGGGTGCAGGGCCCAAGTCCTTGGGCCATCCTCCACTGCACTCCCGGGCCACAGCAGAGAGCTGGCCTGGAAGAGGGGCAACCGGGACAGAATCCGGCGCCCCGACCGGGACTAGAACCCCGTGTGCCGGCACCGCGAGGCGGAGGATTAGCCTAGTGAGCCGCGGCGCCGGCTAAAATAAATAAATCTTTAAAAAAAAGTTTGATATGTAACAGCATGCCTAATACTGCAAGTGCACAAAAACAAGGTCTTTTGTGGTACCTTATACAGATAATTAAAACATCACATGTTCTAAAATGGCAATCAATTATGACTAATTTTTTTTTGAGAACCAGTTTTATAAATGATAGGATTAGGGCAAAGCATATTCTGTACTGTATCATCAGTTCCAACATCTAATAAACTACTTTCAAAATATATTACTTCAGCCAAACATGCTCCTTATCCAAACATGCTCCTTTTTTGCCAGCTCTGCACGGCTGGCTTTTGGCTAAAATTTTAATTATCTATGTCCTAGAAATATTTAGCTCATTAATATGCTATAGAATGGAATAAGTAAGTTACAAAAGTTCTGACAAGCAGCAATGTTGAGTCTGTCTTTGTTTAAAATGTTATCTTTAGCATAACTTAGCATTTGAAGTAGTTGAGAACAGACTTTAGTTCAAGTCTTAATTCTGCACTAATTGGCTTTATAGTCTCAGGTATACCCCTTAACTCTTCTTCAGCTCCATATTCTTATCTCATTTTGGTGTTGAAAGAATAAAATGAAACTTTAGGAACTTATAAGTAACCAAAAAGGAAAGAATTGGTACCAAATTTTATTTATCATCAAAATAAATATCACCATAGTTTGTATTTCTAGAGAAAGTCCTTGGTATTCAAGATAACTAGTGCATTTATAGAGAGAATAAGATAGCTCAAACCCACGCAATTTAAAACTTAATGTTTCCTTTTCATCATAACTGTAGTCACAGTCTTTATTCACAGCACTTTAGAAAGGTTAACTTTCTTGGTACAAGTTAATTCTTCAGATTTTAATATTTCAGGAAGATGGAAGAGAAATTTACTTTCATTAACATGATACCGATAGATAATACTTTTCAAATTATTATAGTTGGTA